AGTTGGCCCCGACTCATAGCGACCCCTCCTTGGGTTTCTGAGGCAGTATCACTACGGAAGTAGGATTGCCCAACTTCCTTCCGAGGAGTGGCTGGTGGATTTGAACTGCCAGCCTTCTGGTGAGCAGTCAAGTGCCTTAGGCACTACGCCACCGGAGCTCCTTGAATACCTATTAGCTCTTTTGAAATTCTCTTATTCTTATGTCTGTCAATCACCCTGTTGCCTCCCTTTTCTTTCTTCTGCCTAGATGCTGCTGTCATGCAGGCCTTACTGCTCTAGGGGGTTTGCCCCTGCCTGCTTACATTTTGGGGTTTCTGTGGATATGTTTTCTTTTAGATTTGTAGTATATGTTGTCTATCAGTTTTTGGCTTTGCCATCTAGTTTCCCTGTCTATTTTTATGTTGGTATTTGGAGAGAGTAAAAAAACTATGCTGCCAGAGCTATCATCTTTCCAGAACCCTCTGTCTCCATCAGTATGACTTTTGAAAAGTTTCTTAACTTCTGTCAGTTAAGTTTTTAATTCATAGTGTCTCAGTTTTTAATTCAAGAAAGTAAAGATGATTATACTGACAGGGTGGTTGTGAAGATAAATATATGTGAAGTGGCTTGATAATGCCAAGTATAGTAGTTGCTCAATAACTTAGCTATTATTATCATAAAGAATATGTTTCCTCTTTAGCAATCTTGCTTTTAGCATTTGTGTGCATCATTTCTACAGTTAAAATGGAAAGATCATTTAATTAAGAGTGTTATTACTTACTATTATATTAATTATATTATTACTTAATTTTTACTTACTGATGTCTTCTTTTTGCTAACTCATCCTGTGGTTAACATTTAGGAGGTGGGAGAAATTTTAGTGGTAAAGTAACCCTTGTTTTGCAGTTGAGGAAATTGAGGTCTTGAGAGGTTAAGGAGTAAGCTCGTGCCAGTGCAGTTCCAAACTCATGTCATCATTCATCAAATATTTATTGAACCCATACTATGTACCCTGGCACTGTGCTGGGCACTGGGATGAAGAATCAACAAAACAGCCAGAATACCTTAAAAAGCTATGTCTGACTGCTTACCTGATATTTTTAAGAGGTTTGTATACCTTAAATTATAATTTGTCCAATCAATCAAGTGTTAATATATCCATGTCTGAACTGAGAAAGCATTGGGAAATTGAGAAATGCTGTATAGGTTAGGAAATTCCACATCCAGGAGCAGCAGAGCCATAAAATTGCCACATTTTAGCACTAGAAGGGTTCTTATTATCCAGAAAAGTAATTGGAACCAGAGATAAGAAGTGGCTACTCTAATTTGCAGGCAGGTGTGCAGTTCACCACATCATAGCCACTCAGTTGCCAGCCAGCTCAGGGAGAAGATACTCTCCCTGTCCTCTTTCAGTGCCTTTCATTGTCATCCTTTCTGTGTTAGTACTTCTGGAGAGGGCATGGAACAGAGCTCATTTTGCATCATTTGTATCCCTGTTTTGGTATGTTCCCATACTAACCTGGTGTTATGTTCAAAATACTGTTTTCTTATTTATAAGTCATTATGTTTTAGTCTACTTTTTATGGAAGTGCAGTTTTCAAAAGATTCTTTACAGGCCATCTGCTCTGTCATGCAGATCACTGGTTTATTTAGCAAATAGTTCTTGCTCTATACTGTGTGCCAGGCCCTGCACCAGATGCTATGGGTACTGTTGTAATATGTCAGACACAGGCAAGCAAACAGGCATTATCCAGAGTGTGAGAAATGCCCCATTTGGGAAATACGGCGTGCTGTGGGAATACTTAAAATGCCTTCTGACTTCTCTGGGGGTCAGGGAAGGCTTGTTCACAGAAGTAACATTGATGTTAAGGTCTGAAAGAGGAGCAGGTGCTAGCATGCAACCTGTAGGGCCAAAAGGGGCCTAGATAGGGGGAACAGAATATGCAAATGCACAGAATCAAGAATACTGCAACAGAAAATCCAAGAATATATTAACGTTTACTGAAGCTAATAACTAATGCAATGACTGGCAGTAAGAATGCTATCGGTTAGCTTAAGATGATACTTTGTGGTTTAAAAGCAGATCCTGTTTTCCTCAAAATTAGAGTGGAGATTTGACTATGGACATGACAGAGGCATAGGAAGTTCTACAAAGTGGCAGAAAAAGTAATGAGTGAATATATGCATCTATTTTGCATTTGCACATTTATTACTTTTATTTTTATTGTAGGTAGTTTCTCCACCTGTTTTTGTGGACACTTGATTCCAAATCTTAGGATAGAAATAAGGATGCTTTTGCTTTTGTTTTGTGTTTACTTAAAATACTCTATAGATCTTTAAGACACTAAATCTTATTAACTCTACTTATAAGCTATAAGGGCTAATTTATGCATTCTCTATAGATTCCTTTTGGCATTTATTTCTATGAAAATAATACATTAAAGTCATTTACCATTTAAATTTTTAGAGTGTTTTATTAGTTTTTTATATAGGTAAAAGAAATCTAGTAATATTTTGTACATTAGAAGTAATAATATAAGTGTGTAAAATGTTTGTGTCCTTTAGTTTTGGGAACTAGGGTGGTATGTGATTTGCCCTTAGTTTGAATGTTAGAATTGAATTAGGTTCAGGGCTGGTGCCCAGAGTTTCTCACAAAAGGTTTCCTGCATCTGCTGTGTGTTGCTGATAAGAATCCCATGGTTAAGCCCTTTGTTTATCGGAGGAAATTCCTGTTAGGTGTGTGCACATTCCCCTTTGTTTTCAGTGAATCGGCCATAAGAATCTTATACAACACTCTATTCTTTTAGCAAAATCCTTTGGCAGATGGGGCATACTTTCCTGCAAGTAATTAAGATGGGCATAAGCTGATCAGAGACTGTTTGCCCCTATTATATGTAGACTGAAAGACTTTTCGATTAAAGACAAGGTGCTTAATTTTAAACATAACATCCATACTCCAGAAGATAAACTTAGGATATTTGGACATACGATAGTCTGCACTGGAGGTATATTTTCAGTAACTTGACATAGTTCATTATAAATATGTCTGATTAAATTTGAAGAGATCTTTGAAGTGAAAAGTCTCTGTAGTAAATGAAATAATTGGGGGATTTTATTTAATTTTTGGTAGTGTCTGAATGTTTGCCTTTGGTAATATCCACTATACTCAAAACTGCAAGTATAATCTATTCTTATTCAGAGGTTGAGGTTTTATTACATCAGTTAAATCACACCTGCTATTAAAGCCAAAATTGTTGTGCCCAAAGGAGTGCTCCTGCAGCTGCATGTTGTCATTTCAGCCAGGAAAGCTGTGCAGTGCCTTTGAGTCCTGACCTCCTGTCAGGAAATGATTTTGGGAAAAACCAGTGACAAATTTCTTACTTGTGTCAAAGAACAGTAAATATTTTCTGAGCTATTACTGATGTTACTTTTTATTTGTTTGATCAATAATAACTATTTTCTCTTGGAAAATTTAAAGTTTTTTTTTTTTTCCCCAGTTTGTTTTGGGAAATTTAGAAACTGAATTATTACAGTGAGGTAGATTTATTACTTGGATAGGCATCCTAGTGGCACAATTATTAAATGTTGCTAACCAAAAGACAGGTGAGCAGTTTGAACCCACCATCTTCTTCACAATGGGGAAAGACCTGGCATTCAGCTCCTATAAAGATTATGGCCTAGAAATTGCTACAGGGCAGTTCTACTCTGTCCTAAAGGATCATTGTAGTCAGAATTGACTCACAGGCACACAATAACAGCAACGTTCTTAGATAATTGTTTATATAAATAAGTTGGTATTTGTAAGAAATTTTCATAAATTTTTTCATAGAGAATAAAATAGAGAGTGCTTCATTGCTCTAAAACATTTCAAACCTTAAGGCCAATTTTAACAAAAAATAATTTCTCATTTCAGGCCTTTGAAGACCTCAGCAAGCTCATGATCAAGGTACCACTAAATTCATACCAATGATGATACATTTTGAAAATATATTTTGTTAGCAGACACTTTGGGAACATTAGTTTTATAGAGAGGTTTTTGCTTTTTTCTTGACAGGCTAAGGAAATGGTGGAGTTATCAAAGTCAATTGCTAATAAAATTAAAGACAAACAAGGTGACATCACAGAAGATGAGGTAAATAGGTTGGTTTTTTAAGGCCTGAGCAACTAGGTTACATAAATAATACAATGATGTTTTGGTGGTTTACCAGTTTTCTTTCTTACTGAGTTTTATTTCTTTTAGGACTTGAAGATAAGTGAAAGTGCTAAAGACAAAGTCTTTAAAGCATATAAACTTTGTTAAGGTCTAGTAGGGTTAAAGGGAGTATAGGAAACAGATACTGAAATGTATAAGAGGTAGCTGTTTTATACATATCTATAGGTTTTAATATTTCTTTCATTAAATTTGTCTACAGTCTGATCACAGCCATTTTCCTTTCTAAGTTTTGGGTTGTATCATTATATATAGCATAGTTGTTACCTAAATCTCTGGTACCAAAACTTGTGAGGTCAATGGAGTATGAGATGCCAAGATAGTAAAAGGAAGAATAATAATTAGATATATGCAAGGAACGACTACAAACCTGCTTCCTCATAGTTCACAGCAGAATACAAGAAATGAGTAAATATAGAAGTATTAAGTAGAATTAAATTTTTGATTGAAGGATTTGAAATGTTGGGGGATGGGAGGACTAATTCTTCATAGTCTTTTTCTGCATTATTTCCTGTCTTTTTTTTTTTTTTAAATTTTATATCTCCTGTCTTATAGACCATCAGGTTTAAATCCTACTTGCTGAGCATGGGAATAGCTAACCCAGTTACCAGGGAAACCTACGGCTCAGGCACACAGTACCACATGCAGCTGGCCAAACAGCTGGTTGGAATATTGCAGGTGCCTTTAGAGGTAATAAGCAAACCTAAAAAATGTTCTTTTAATACTGTGTTAAACTGTTTGAATGTCATAAGAAATGTACACGAACATTACTCCTTTTATAATGTGCTTACTGTTCAACTGACATGTTAATTTTTCTTTCAGATATATTAAATTATTTCATTGCACTTATTAATGATTTGACAATAATCTAAATGTTTTCAACTTCCACTTTAGATAGTTGTAACTTCCTAACTCTATCTGATACGAAGTTTTTCTTACTTCTTACTTTCAGAAGGAAATATATGATCTATCTATTTATATAGATATGGAGTCTCTGGGTGGCACAAGCAGTTAAACGCTTAGCTATTAATTGAAAGTGGTTCAAATCCAACCTGAGGTGTCTCAGAAGATAGGCCTAGCAATCTCCTTTAGAAAGATCACAGCTATTGAAAACCCTGTGGGACACAATTCTACTCTGAAACACATGGGGTCACAATGAGTCAGAATTGACTTGTTGGCAACTGGTTTGGTTTTTTTAATAAATGTATTTGGTAGGAACTCTGGTGGTGTAGTGGATAAGGCACTTGACTGCTAACCAGAAGGTCAGCGGTTCAAACCCACCAGCTGCTCCATGGAACGAAGACTGGGTGATATACTTCCATAAAGATTTACAGCCTCGGAATCCCAGTGGGGGTCGCTGTGAGTCAGAAATGACTGGATGGCATTGAATTTGGTTTGGGTATTTGATATATGTATTTGTATTGTGTGTGTGTGTGTGTGTGTGTAAAATTTCTAACAGCTGTAGATTTTTTTTGAATATTTTGTATTTTCAGTGAAGTTTACATAGCATGTTAGTTTTCCATTCAATAATTTATGCACGGTTTGTTCTATGACATTAGTTGCTGTCCCCATTACATCAGTACTATCCTCTTTTCCATCCTGCCTTCCCCATTTCCATACCTCCAGTGTCCCTGCCCTTCCTTCCCGTCTCATCTTTGCTTTTGGGCAAATGTTAATCATTTGGTCTTATATAGTTGATTTTTATAAGGAGCACACTCCTCAGGGTGTTATTATTTATTTTATATGCCAATATATTATTTGACTGAAAGGAGTGGCTTCAGTTCCAGGTTAAAAGGGTGTCTTAGGGCAATAGTCTCAGGGTCCTCCAGTCTCTATTGGTCCCGTAAGTCTGGTCTTTTTTATGAATTTGAGTTTTTTCAGACATTCTTCTCCTATTCTAACAAAGACCTTCTATTGTGTACCTAGTTAGGGTGGTCATTAGTGGTAGCCGGATACCGTGTAATTGTTCTTGTCCCAGGCTAGAGGAGGCTGTGGTTCATTAGTGGGCCATTAGTCCTGTGGACTAATTATAATTACTTCCTTGAGTCTTTGAGTTTCCTTTACTTGCCTTTGCTCTAGATGGGAAGAGACCAAACCTTGTATCTTAGATGTCTGTTCGAAGCTTTTAAGACTCTAGTTGCTACTCAACAAACTAGGTGTGGAACATTATCTTTATGAACTATGTTATGCCAGTTGACCTAGGTGTTCCCTAAGATTATGTCCTTAGAAAATTCAGTCCCATGAGCTTTTTTAATATGTCTAAGATGTTTCCATAATGGTGCCCCCTATGTGCTCTATTACATATATGAATATATATGAAACACATAGAAATATGTATATACAAATGTCCACAACTGTACCTATATATGCATACACATGTATTCCCATATACCCTCCCACACATATATAGCATACATATCTACTTATGTAGCCACTCACAAGTTTTTGGTTGGTAGTATTGTTGATGCAGAATTGTATGTGTTACCGCATTTACTGCCATTGTCCTTTATTCTTGTGTCCCTCTCTGTCTTCATTTACACTGGTAATATTGTGCTAACTTCTTCCATATTGTGTATTACTTTTCCCTTCACCAGAAATAACACGTGTACTATCTCCCATTCCTGATAATCATCAAAGAATGTTGCTTTCTGTGTGTAAACCTACTCTTTTAATAAAGTGGTATCATATAATATTTATTTTTCTGTGATTTTTTTCACTCAGCATGATGTCCTTCAGATTTATTCATGTTTCACAGGCTCATTATTCTTTATTGTTACCTAGTATTCCATTGTATGTGCTTACCACATTTCGTTTATCCGTTCATCTGTTGATGGACACTTGGATTGTTTCTGTCTTTTTGCTGTTGTGCATAATGCTGCAGTGAACATGGGTGTGCCTATGTCTATTTGTGTCACTGCTCTTACTTCTCTAGGGTATATTCTTAAGAGTGGGATTGCTGGATTGTATGGTATTTCCATTTCTAGCTTTTTGGGAAAAACACCATACCGTTTTCCATAGTGATTGTATCATCTTTACACCAGTGGTGTATAAGAGTTCAGTTTTTCCACAACCTTGCCAGCATTTGTTATTCTCTGTTTTTGTGATCATTGCCATTTTTGCAGGGGAAAATGGTGTGTCATTGTACTTTTGATTTGCATCATCTAATGCCTAATGATTGCGAGCATCTCCTCATATGTTTGTTGCTTACCTGAGCAACTTTGGTGAAGGGTATGTTCATATCCTTTGCCCATTTTTTGATTGGATTGTTTGTTTTTTTGTTGTCGAAATGTTGAAGTTTTGTATAAATTTTGGAAATTAGACCCTTGGCAGATGAGTCATTGCTAAAGTTTTTTTCCCTTTGTGTAGATTTTCTTTTGGTAAAATCTTTTGATGAGAGTAAGTATTTGATTTTTAGTAGGTCTCGGTTATCTAGTTTTATCTTCTGTTGTTTGTCCATTTAAAATTTTATGTTTGTGTATTTATGTCGTAAAATAGGACCTTCAGCTTTGTCCCTAGGTTATGTAGATGTATTTCTTTTTGACTGTTTTCAAATTTATGTACCAACCACTACAGCCAAAGATGAAGAAATGAAAGATTTTACCAACTTCTGGAATCTGAAATTGGTCAAACATACAATCAAGATGTGTGATAATTTCTGGTGATTGGAATGCGAAAGTTGGAACAAAGAAGGACTGGTAATTGGAAAATTTGGCCTTGGTGATAGAAACAACTCTGGAAATCACATGTTAGAATTTTGTAAGATCAGTGACTTACTCACTGCAAATACCTTTTTTTCAAGAACATAATTGGCAACTCTATGTGTGAACCTCACCATATGGAATACACAGGAATCAAACTGAATACATTTGTGGAAAGAGGTGATGGAGAAGCTCAGTACCATCAGTCAGAATAAGGTCTATGGACAGACCATCAGTTGCTCTTAATGCAAATTGAAGTTGAAGAAAATTAAAACAAATACACCAGAGCTAAAATATGACCTTATTTATAATCCTACCTGAATTTAGAGATGATCTGAAGAGTAGATTTGATGGATTAGACACCAGTGACTGAAGACCAGACAAGTTGTGGGATGACATCAAGAATATCTTACATGAAGAAAGCAAAAGGTTACTAAGAAGATAGGAAAGCAAGAAAAGACCAAGTGAATGTCAGAAGAGACTGAACTTGATCTTGCACAGAGAGCTAAAATGAATGGAAGAAATGCTGAAGTAAAAGAGCTGAACAGAAGATTTGAAAGGGTGGCTCAAGAAGACAAAATAAAGTAGTATAATGAAATGCTCAATGACCTGGAGTTAAAAAGCCAAAAGGGAAGAACACAGTTGGCATATTTCAAGCTGAAAGAATTGAAGAAAAACTTCAAGCTTTGAGTTGCAATGTTGAAAGAATCTATGGGCAAAATACTGAACAACACAGGAAGCATCAAAAGAAGTTGGAAGAAGTACACAGAGTCAACTGTATTGCTCAACGTTCAGCCATTTCACAAGGTACATATGGTATTAAAGGTAGAAGTCCAAGCTGCATTGAAGGCATTGGAGCAAAACAAGGTTCCAGGAATTGATAGAATATCTATTGAGATGTTTCAACAAATGGATGTAATGCTGGAGGCACTCACTTGTCTATGCCAAGAAGTTTGGAAGACAGCTAGCTGGTGAACCAACTGGAAGATACCCATATTTGTGTCCATTCTAAAGAAAGGACACAGAAATTATTGAACAGTATCATTAATATCACACACAAGCAAAATTTTGCTGAAAATAATTAAAGAACCATTGCAGTAGTAGATAGAAAGCCAAGCTAGATTCAAAAAAGGACGTGGAATGAGGGATATCATTGCTGATGTCAGATGGATCTTGGCTGAAAGCAGAGAATATCAGAAAGACGTTTACCTGTGTTTTATTGACTATGCAAAGACCTTCAGTTGTATGGATTGTGACACATTATGGATAACATTGCAAAGAATGGGAATTCCGGAGCACTTAATTGTGTTCATGAGTATCCTGTACATAGACCAAGAGGCAGTTGCTTGAACAGTACAAGGTGATACTGGTGGTTTAAAATCAGGAAAGGTGTACGTCAGAGTTGTATCCTTTCACTGTACTTACTTGGTCTGTGTGCTGAGCAAATAATCTGAGAAGCTGTACTATATGATGAAGAAGGCAGCATCAGGATTGGAGAAAGACTCATTAACAACCTGTGAGATGCAGATGACACAACTTGTTTGCTGAAAGTGAGAAGACTTGAAGTACTTACTGATAAAGATCAAAGTCTACAGTCTGTAGTATGGATTAAGCCTCAGTATAAAGAAAACAAAAGTCCTCACAACTGGTCCAGTAAGTTATGTCATGACAAATGGAGAAAAGATTGAAGTTGTCAAGGATTTCATTGTACTTGGATTCACTTCACTACCTGTAGAAGCAGCAGTCAAGAAATCAAATGACGTATTGCATTAGGCAAATCTGCTGCAAAAGTCCTCTTTAAAGTGTTAAAGAGCAAAGCTGTTACTTTGAAAACTAAGGTGCACCTGACCCAAGTCCTGGTCTTTTCAATAGCCTCATGTGCATGTGAAAGCCAGACAATAAATAAGGAAGACTGCAGAAGAATTGATGTGTTGAATTGTGGCATTGGCAAAAGAATATTTAATATCTTATGCACTGTCAAGGGGCTCTGGTGGTGTAGTGCCTAAGGCAGTTGACTGCTAACTAGAAGGCTGGCAGTTCAAACCCACCAGCCACTCCTCAGAAGAAGATTGGGCAACGTACTTCCGCAGCGATACCGTCTTGGAAACCCAAGGAGGGGTCGCTATGAGTTGGATCCCACTCAATGGCAGTGAGAGAGAGAGAAGGATGGACTGTCAGAAGAGCGAATAAATCTGTCTTAGTTGAAGTACAGCTGGAATGCTCCTTAGAAGGGAGGATGGCGAGACTTCTTTAACTCTTGTACTTCATCATGTTGAAGGGGAGGGACCAGTCCCTGAAGAAAGGTATCGTGCTCGGTAAAGTAGATGGGCAGTAAAAAGAGGAAGACTCTCAACAAGATAGGTCGACACAGTGGCTGCAACAGTGAGCTCAAGCATATCAAGGGTTGTGAGGATGGTGCAGGACCAGGAAGTGTTTTCATTTTGTTGTACACAGGGTCACTGTGAGTTGGAAGGGCCTCGATGGCACCTAACAATAACAACAACATGCTTAATACATAGTATACTATGGTAATTTCATATTACAAATTTATATTCTTGTCTAACTTTATTCAAGCAATCAAAAGTTTATTGAAGTACTTTTATTAGGAAATATCTGAAACATACACCAAAATAGTAGAATGAATCCTTATGTGCCCATCATCCAGCTTCAGCTGCTAACCAGCCTCCACTCATAATTATTTTCAAGCAAATCCCAGACATGTCATCATTTTCTCTCTATATATTTCTCTATATATATATTTCAGTACATAGTTATAAAAAATAGACTCCTTGAATACAACTGTTATCCCGTTTTCAGACCTAAAAATGAAATTTTCTTAATACCTAGTTATTGTTCACATTTTCTCTTACAGTTGGTTTGCTCAGATCAGGGTACATAACAGTTGGTTGATTTGCAATTTATGAATGCTATGTCAATCATTACCTAGATTTATTTTTCATTAGGAATTGTAAATGGTGACATTCTTACTTAGTTCTATAAGTCTTCTTCATTTATGAATTTGAATAACTTAAAAAATTAAATATACTTTTTGAAGCATGGTATAGAGCTTCTCTTTTCATTGTGACCATTTAAGTAATTATTAAATAGTAATGATATTACAGTCTAAATATTGGATTTGAAATGTCTTATGGTATCTGAATAGATTTCTTTGTGTGTAAATACAGGTTTTAATAGCCTTTAAGTAATGTAATTTCTGATTTCATTCTCATTATGATTTCTGTTGAGAAATACTAACTGGTGTAAATTATAACATACTTTTTTATTTTATATTTTAACAGGAGCGAGGGGGAATAATGTCCCTTACAGAGGTGTACTGTTTAGTAAACCGCGCTCGAGGAATGGAAGTAAGAATAGAACATTTAGAGATTCTTTTAAAAAAATAGACTTGTTTGATATGATACAGATTCCCCTGCAGTGAATACAATTTGAGGAAGGGGTGTGAATATCAAAGCTATTTTGAGAAGCAGTGTGGTTCAGTGAAAAGAGTACCTACTGCCCAGGGATGCAAGACATAGATTCGGTGCCTAGTCTTGCCAGTAATTTGCTAAGTGACCTTGAGCAGCTTACTTAACCTTTCTGGCACTCAGTTTTCTTACCTTATAAAGAAGAGTTTGGACTGAGTGATACCTTTCAGTTCTAATATTCTGTGTTTGTGTTGTGATGAGTAAGGTTTGCATGAGGCCCTTTCTTTATAATAGTTAACTGTACACGGAGTTGACTTGGTTGGATACAGGTTGCCGTGTACGTAGGGCAGAGGGGGAGCCGCCTGCTCCTTTGGTTTTTTATCAGCAGTGGTTATCCTTCAGCTCTCATTGCCCCTTCACACCCAGATATCCTTTGCCTCCAAGCTTCTGTCTAGGTACTCTGTGAGCCCCAGTCGTCAGTTTTATGGTGTCAGCAGTTACCTCTATGCAAATGACTCTCACATGTACCTTTCCAGCCGTCACCTGCGTCCCTGCTCTGTGCTTTTATTTGAGTTATTGTGATAACTGCTGTCAATGAATATGTACACTCTGTCAGGCACTCTTCCAAGCATGCCACATGTTTTATCTCATTCTTCCAATAACTCAATAAGGTACTACCCCATTAAGGGGCTAATTTGAGGAAATTGAGATTTAGAAATATTAAATAATATCAAAGGCCACACCAGGAGACTGGTTTGACAGGGATTCTGCTCTAGGGTAGGCTGGCTCGTTACTCTCATGCCTCTTGTGCGACTCAGCTCTGAGCACTCTGCCACAGCTCAAGCTGAATTTCTTGTTGTGTTGGACTGAATAGTGTCCCCAAAATTCATCTCCACCTGGAATTTCAGAATGGGGCCTGCAAAAACGGCAAGGAGGCCACATGACCTCCTCTAATCTCACAAGAGGAAGAAAGGATTACCAGCAGTAGCCCAAGGCCTATTACTGCAAGGCCAAACATGCTGCCTCCCTCCAGCCCTTTCACCAACTGTTCCTCCCAAAGCACCCACCACCTCTCTCCTGGGTTCGATAATTCGCTGCAGTGGCCACACAGAACTCACAGATTACAGGGTTTATTAGGGAAGCACCAGGCTATAACTCAAGTTCAGGAAGAACGCTCAGTCTCTCTCCCAGCCCACCGTCCCTCAGCCAAGAGTCTCTCACAGTCTCTTTCCCAGCAGTGCTGGTCCCTTGGTGTCTCACTCAGCAATGCGTGTCTCTTGCGTCTCTCTCCCAGCAGCACGTGTCTCCTTCAGGAACGCGTGTCTCTTTTGGCAGCATGTCTTCCTCCACCAGCAGTCAGAGCGAGTTCTGCCTCCAGGAGGTTCTCCTTAAGAGCCCGCCGGGTGGTCAAACTAGCCAATTATAGCATCAGAACTCTAAGCACCTGAGAGAGAGTGGGCACCTCCCAGAACATTGTTTTGTGCCACTCCCAACAGAAATACTCCAGGTGGACACCTTCAGCAATCAGGAGCTCCTCAGTTGCTCATAGCAAATCCCGCCTTGAAGTTTACAAAGACTTATGGGTAGAAAAGCCACACAAAATAATTTACTACACTGCAGGGCCTCATTTGCAAATAGGGTCTTTGCGAGTATAATTGGTTCATCTGGGGTCATACTAGCTCACTGCCGTCGAGTCAGATCTGACTCATAGCGATCCCTCCTTGGGTTTCCAAGGTGGGATCACTATGGAAGTAGATTGCCCAACCTTCCTTCTGAGCAGTGGCTGGTGGGTTTGAACCAGACTGCTTCTGGTTAGCAGTCACATGCCTTAGGCACTATGCCAGTAGAGCTGCTGGGGTCATACTGGTATCCTTTTAAGAAGAGAAATGACACAAAAACACACAGGGAGAATGCCATGGATGCTAGAGGCAGATTATAAGGATGGATTTATAAGCCAAGGAACACTAAGGATTACCAGGAATCACCAGAAGTTGGAGAGAGCCAAGGAAGGATTCTCTCACTTTCCCATCCTGCCTTCAGAGGCAGCATGGTTTGGTAGAGAGAATGAGTATATGAGTCTTCCTGTTGTTGTCAATCACCTAGTTCATGGTAATTTGTTACAGTGGCCACAGGATACTTATACCCCCATTTTCTCCACCAAGCCAACTCTTCTATTGTGCCCATTTTTCTCCTTTTTGTTTTTGTAATCCTCCCAGTCACTCTCTTCTCCAGTGAGTCTTACACTGCCATCAGATTGTTCTTAAAGCATGGTTCTAATCAATCTCAAACACTCTCAGTAGGTCTTCACTGGCTACAGAATAACTCCACACCCCTTAATCTAGCCTTTATTGCTTTCTGTGGTTGTCTTGCAACTTACTTTTCTAAACTCTCATTTTTTCCTTTATTTCAGCTCACATAGTTACTTGTTACTTTCTGTAGTGATCCTGTACTTTCATACTTCTTTGCATTTATTTGTATAATTCTTTCTGTGTCACTGTCCTTTCCCCACATCTGTATGTCCAAATCTTAGGATCCTGCTGAAATACTACCCCTTTTAGAAAGATAGCTACAAATATTCTCTCCCTCTTTTGAATGTCACAGTACTGTGCCAGTCTGTCTCTCAGCCTGTTTCTTCCACCATTTTTACTAGACTGTATAATTGCAGCACTGCATTCACAGGGAACTGCCAGAAGTTCAAGACTGATTCAGAAGAGGATATGGATCAAGAGATACCATTGCTGATATCAGATGGATCTTGGCTGAAAGCTGAGAATACTAGAAAGATGTTTACCTGTGTTTTATTGCTCATGCAAAGGCATTCAACTGTGTGGATCATAACAAATTATGGATAACATTGCAAAGAAAGAGAATTCCAGAACACTTAATTATGCTCATGAGCAATGTGTACATAGACCAAGAAGCAGTTCTTAGAACAGAACTAGGGGATACTGTGTCATTTAAAATCAGTAAGGGTGTGTGTCAGAGTTGTATCTTTTCACCATGCTTACTCATACTGTATGCTGAACAAATAATCTGAGAAGCTGGACTGTATTAGGAGCTCTGGTAGCACAGTGCCTAAGGCACCTGAGAAGGTTGATGGTTCAAACCCACCAGCCACTCAGCGGAAGCAACACTGGGCAATTTACTTCTGTAAAGATTTACTGCCTCGGAAACCCAAAGAGGGTTGAGTCCGAATCGACTCAATGGCAGTGGATTTTTTTTGGGGGGGTCCTATATTAAGAAGAATGTGGGGTCAGGGTTGGAGGAAGACGCATTAACAACCTATGATATGCAGATGACACAATCTTGCTTGCTGAAAGTGAAGAAGACTTGAAGTATTTACTGATGAAGATCAAAGACTACAGCCTGCAGTATAGATAACACCTCAACATAAAACAAAAATCCTCACAACTAGACCAATAAGCAACATCATGATAAAGAAAAAAAAGATAAAAAAAAAAAAAAAAGAAGTTGTCAAGGATTTTTTTGGGATCCACTATCAAAACCCATGCTAGCACCGTTAAGAAACCAAACAACATATTTCATTGGGCAAATCTATCAAAGATTGCTTTAAAGTGTTAAAACAAAGATGTCATTTTGAAGACTAAGGTGCACCTAATCCAAGCCATGGTATTTTCAGCTGAATCATATGCATGTGAAAGCTGGACAATGAATAAGGAAGATTGAAGAATTGATTCATTTGAATCTACGTATTGATGAAGAATATTAAATATACTATGGACTGCCAGAAGACTGAACAAACCTGTGTTAGAAGAAGTACAGCCAGGATACTCCATAGAAGTGGTGATGGCAAGACTTCATCTCACACACTTTGGACATGTTGTCAAGAGACACCAGTCCCTAGAGAAGGACATCATACTTGGTAAAGTAGAGGGTTGGCAAAAAAAAGACCTTCAATGAGATGGATTGACACACTGGCTGCAATTATGGGCTCAAACATGACAGCAGTTGTTAGGATTGTGCAGGACTAGGCAGTGTTTCATTCTGTTGTATATAGAGTAGTTGAGTCGGAACCATCTTGGCTGCACTTCACAACAACACCAACATAGTTACTAAGAAGGTCTTTGGGTAGTATAGATGGTTTGTACTTGACTGTGAACCTGAAGGTTGGTGGTTTGAATTTGCCCAGAGGCACTGTGGAAAAAAGGCCTGGTGATCTACTTTTGTGAAGATTACAGCTAAAGAAACCCTATGGTGCAGTTCTACTCTGTAACATGAGTCACATGACTCAGAATCAACTCGAAGGCAGTGGGGTGTGGTTATTAAAATGCATATCTTCTTATTTCCTTCAGTAAACTCCTAGCTTCTCAAGGGAAGAATTATTACATGATTTATCTCTGTGTTTTTACTGTATCTAGAATAATAGTTTGTAACCTAAAAATGATTGATAAATAATTGTTGAATGATTGAATGACTATCTTAACTATTTCATCCAAATGATTAAAATAAACATGTATGAGTGTGTGTATGTAACAGTATCAAATGTAGATTATTATGTGTACAAGACATCTCATTTTTTTCTTAGTACAGTCAGCCTGAGAATGTGATATTTAACAATGTGGCAGTTCAACAATTCTGCAAGCCCTTTCACTACCAAACTTTTTGTTTGTAAGATTTTGTAGATGTAATGTTTTTCACTAAGTGAATGCATACTGAATCATTGAGTGTTTTTAAGTTTTGTTAGGCATGATGGATTTTGATAAATATGTGGGACAGATGTGTCCCAAGGGACTGTGGTGGTAGTATAGGTAGGAGGAGGTGTGGAGAGAAGTATTCATGTGAATATTTTCTAATTCTGAACACTGCACCTTCCCAATAACACAGAGGAAGCAGTAAATATAATTATAAGCCTTATCTCATTGTACAGAAGCCCAGAGATAAAAATTTTAAACAATCTCTCACTTCTATAGGATGCACCACCTCATACAATAACCTCTAAACAAGCAATATGTCACCGATGAACTTCCTTCTCTTTTATGCAGTTAACACAGTTCCCACCCTGATGCCAGCACATACTGTATGTGGGGAAAAAGCCTCCTTAGAAACTCCAGAGGCAGAAAATATAAGTGGTACTTATGTGTACCACGAGAGGAGCTCTGGTGGTGTAATGCCTAAGGCATTTGACTGCTAACTAGAAGGCTGGTGGTTCAAACCCACCAGCCATTCCTCGGAAGGAAGATTGGGCAATCTACTTCCATAGTGATACTGCCTTGGAAACCCAAGGAGGGGTCAATATGAGTCAAAATTGACTCGATGGCAGTGAGTTTGGTTTTGTTTTTTATGTGTACCATGGGATATGAAAGACTTAAGGCACATTTTTTTTTAAAAGTTTATTGTGATTTGGGTGAAAGTTTACAGAGCAAATTCATTTTCCATACAGCAGTTCATATACACTTTGTCTCATGACATTGACTGTAATCTCCCACAATGTAGCAGCTCTCCTCCCACTTACTCCCGATAGCCACCTCTTTCCTGTGTCCTTCCCTCCCATGCACTCTTGCCCCTTGAGCTGTCACCCTGTGCACACATAGCCCTTCTATTCTCCTATGATTGATCTCTCCAAGGAATGTATCTACCTAATGTAAATGTTCATCTCATATGCCTGTCTTTTGTTTGGCTGGAAGCCACACAGTTGGATTTCCAGACCTGAAGGGCTGCTAGGGTCTATAGTCTCAGGGGTTTCACCAGGCTCTATCAGACCAGCAAACATGGTCCTTTTTTTTTTAAATGATTTTGGGTTTTGTTCCACATTTCTTCCCCCTCTCTATCCAGAATCTCCTACGTAGATCCCCCTCCAAGTGGTTGACAGTGGTAGCCAAGCACCATCTAGTTCTTCTGGTCTTATAGTCATATAGGCTGAGGATCGCATGGTGTACCAGTCCCTTGGTAATTGTTTCCATGAATCTTTGGCTTTCTTCATTCTTCTTTGCTCTGGGCAAGGAGAGACCCATTGTTGCATCTAGATGGCTGCTTGCAAGCTGTTAAGATCTCAATCACTACTCGCCAAAATGATGTGGAACAATGTTTTGGGTAGTATGTTATGCTGATTGAGCTCGATGTTGCCTGTGACTATGGTCCTGAGCCCACAGGTCCAACTACTCCCTCCCTCTGGGTAGCTGGCTGTGGCCAGGAAGTGACTACAACCTTGTTCCTTGTCAGCTCTACTATATACTTAAGGCACATTTTAAATGCCACAAGATGTTGTTGTTGTTGTTGTCGTGTGCCGTCGAGTTGGATCTGACTCATAGCAACCCCTCCTTGGGTTTCCAAAGCAGTATCACTACGGAAGTAGATTGCCCCATCTTCCTTCTGAGGAGTGGCTGGTGGGTTTGAACCACCACCCTTCTGGTTAGCAGTCAAGTGTCTTAGGCACTACGCTACCAGAGCTCCCCAAGATGTTGTTAGAAAGGCCCAATTTGTTTAATCCTATAAGTGATCAGCCTGGGGCTTTTTAGCAATGTCTTCACCTTTGAATCCCAATGTAATAAATATAAGGGAAATTAAAATCCAAAATGATATCTCTTGAAATTAGAGAGAGTAAAGTATCCCTGGACATGCCCAACTCTGCCACTGCCCCCTCCACCTCCTCCTTCATTAGTATCCTAGGACAGGACCAACTCAGCCCACTTGAGTTTTACTCCAATGGCTATAATACTTTGCTAGTCACGGCTTCAGGAAATGAGATGGTTAATGTGGAGGGGAGGCATTTTCTCAGAGAGCTGCGGTATGATAGAGTTATAGGGAGCCCTGTTTTTTGGATGAGAAGACCTAAGTTTAAAGCCTAGTTTGTTAGTTTCTCTCTGAGTAAACATGGTCAAGTCCTTTGATCTCTAAGCTGTTTCCTCCAGTGTAAAACAGATAATAACAAACTTTCCTTACAGAGTTAAAGTACTTTTTAAAAAGTACTTATAGTCAGGAAACCAGAAACAAATGCAAATGGTTAATTTTTTTGTGATAAAGCCATTATCACAACAATTATCATCATCATTGTGACTGGGACTATAGTACTTACTGTATGCCAGACATTGTGCAGAACTCAACATGTGTGCATTATCTCAATTTTCCCAGTTACACTAGAAGGTGAGTGGTAGTATTGTCTTTTTACAAATGATGAAACCAAAGAACAGAAAGGTTAAGTAATTTTCTTAAGGATCTAGAGCTCATAAGAAGTACAGCCAAAACAAGAACCCAGTTCTGTGTAATGCAGCAGTGTCCTGTCACCACCACAGTTGTTCTAAGGCTGAGCTGTTGAACGTAGCTGCTACTAGATCTACGTAGTGATTACAAAATTGAAATATCACTAATCCAAATTCAGCTGTGTTATAAGTGTAAAATACACACTAGATTTAGAGTTAATATAAAAAATACTTCATTAATAGTTTTTTATATTGATTATATGTTGAATTGGTACCATTTTGGTTCTGTAAGGTTAAATTATTTATATATTTGTGTGTGTTTGTGTGTATACGTAGCCATGTGCCACATAACGTCCATTTGGGCAGCATCCAACCACATATACATCCTTGGTCCTGTAGAATTATAACAGAGTCCAGAAATCCCAATCAGAAAATGGGACATAGCAGATGTAACCAGATGTAGCAAACAGCTTCCTGCAGGCAACATGTGTATCTTGTGACTTTTGTATACAAAGCAATTATGGTGCCAGGCATATAATGGTATAGGATATATATAACCTATAATACATATAATAAATGCCTATATTACTTGCTTATGTCTCTACTGTACTATACTTTCTATTGTTATTTTAATGTCAACTTTCTGTACTTACAAATAAAAAGTTTCCTGTGTAATAGCATAAGCTTCAGTTTGTAGGTAGCAGGTTCTAATCTTGTGTATTGTGCATCTTTTGAGTGTTGTAGCATTATCTCTCTGTTACTTTCTTTTGAAAATATCTCTGTGAAGTATATCATGGCTCCCAAACCCAGCAAAACTAATGCTAGTGATAGCAGCAGCAAGAGGCAAAAGAGAAGTATCTATTTAGAAGTAAATCAAAAGGTTATTAAACAATACAAAGGTGGAAAATCAGTGAGTGCTATTGCTTGCAATTTAGGTGTGTCTGTTGCTAAGTATAGGAGCTCTGGCGGTGCTGTGGTAAGGCTGCTAACCAAAAGGTCAGTGGTTTGAACTTACCTGCTGCTCTGTGGGAGAAAGATGAGGCAGCCTGCTTCTGTAAAGATTTAAGCCTTGGAAACCCTATGAGGGTCATTATGAGTTGGGATAAATTTGATGGCAGTACATTTTTGCTTTTTGGTTGCTAAGTATATAATATGGTGTTTACACAATGTCCAAATCACTTAACATTGTCCTATTTGACAAGATGTATCATGGACATTAAGCAACACATGATTCAGTGTGGGTGTATATGTTAATTTCACTTTGTTTTTATTTTTTAAATGTCTACAAGAAAATTTTTAAATTGTATAATAATAATAATTTTTAGCTTGTATAATATTTCTGTAGGATGGCACAGTTTAAATTAACGAGGTCTTTTGCTCCTTTGTTAATCCTTTTACCTTGTAGTGACTAAGGCATCTAAGATCCTTGATAAGTGGTAATGTTTTGATTTCTTCTCTGTTTTAGTGATCATTAAAATTATATAGCATCAGTCTATAATTTCCATTATAACTAGATTTTTTTTTCCCCATTAGTTGCTCTCACCAGAAGATTTAGTGAATGCATGCAAGATGCTGGATGCACTCAAATTACCTCTCAGGTAAAGGAACCTCCACAGGATGTTTGCCAGCTGTCACCACGATTCTGCTCAGGGTAGAAAGAAAAGCCCCACCAGGTCTGCCATCCTGTGTGGTGAGCCAAGAGATTGACCATTTGTAATTATATTCTGTGTGTGGTCACTTGGCCCTATTGTTCTGGCTTCCATTATTAATCAGCGCTGTGTCATAAGGGGCTAGTAGTCAGACCTAGTCGATTTGGAGCAGTGAAATGAGAATGTAGGCTTCTCCTATGAGGTCAGAATAATCAACACCTCTTCCATTACAGATTTGGTATTCAGTGTCTGGAGACTTAAGGTGGGAATGTTTAGCTGTGAAATATATTTTTCTTACCCCCAGGTGAAAAACAGTAGCCAGAAATGTTTCATTTAGTGTGCAGATGCTAGTTCTTAATTTTACTATTTACTCATGTGTTTTTCAATTTTGCCATAGTTGGTTGTGATCATTATGATTAAATGTTGTTTTTATGCTAATAATACTCTCATACATGGGCATAAGAGAAAGTGAAAAGTGTTTGCTTCTCCTTCGTGATTGAAGATTGTAGATGATTCACTGCTCTCCCATCTGCATTTCAGGCTCCGAGTCTTTGACAGTGGCGTCATGGTGATTGAACTTCAGTCCCACAGGGAAGAGGAAATGGTAGCCTCGGCCCTAGAGACGGTATGCGAGCCCAGTTTCCTCCAGTCATCAGAACTTGCCACGAAGACTTTGAATGCTTAGCAACTTGAGAAACAGGATTTCCTTTAGAATTTAACTTTACTGAAAGTAATGTTCACACACCCAATTAAAAACAGTTTCTCATTAACAATGAATAGATATTGAAATTATTATACTTTGGAAGCTCTTTTGAAACTTCTGCTTGTCGGCACGCTGGTTAGTAGCTGTTGAGTCAACTCTGACTCATGATGGCCTCACACATAACAGAATGAAACAGTGCCTGCTGTTGCACCACCCTCTTAAACTTTCATAAATAAGGAGAATTAGAACTAGTAAATTTCATTTGAAGCTTAGTGTTGAGAATAGCTTTTTAACTTTTCAAATACGGATATTACACATAACTGAACTTTTTCTTTCAGTACTTACATTAGTAACATTATAAAATATGAAAAATAACTTTTTAGTGGCCAAATTGCCAGTATTACTCATTAGGATACTTGAAATATTATTGCCTTTGTAGTCTCTATGGTAAGTCTGTGTAGTTTGAATAACTCACATTTATTATACTTCTTGTTTTAAACTAGATGAAAACCCTAAGACTTTAAATATTTCTACTGCATCTGTATAAGATACCTTCATTGGCCCATGTAATATGCCCACACTTAAATTTGTTCTATGTTCCTTTTCATATATAGAGTAGTTCTTTTTATAAGATTTGTATGCCATGTGACAGACTAAAACTGCCCATAGGCTTTCCTGTGGAGCACTGTGGTTAAAGCATATGGCTGCTAACCGAGAGGTTGGTGGTTCCAACCCATCAGCTACTCTGTGGGAAAATGATATAGTTTGTTTCCATAAAGATTTACAGCCTTGGAAATCCTATGGGGCAGCTCTACTCTGTCCCATAGGATTGCTGAGTTGGAATCAAATTGATGGCAGTGTAGTACGAATCTTTATGGGAGCAGATCACTAACTAGGAGATAACTAACTTGGAGCTGCTGAAGGGTCCAAACCTCGATCTTTTGGTTAACAGCTAAGTGTTTAACCATTGTACTACCAGGACTCCTTCTTAAGCTCCAGTTTAGTGCATTGTTGGAGTCCAGGTGGCACAGTGGTTAACGTGTTTGGCTGCTAATTGGAAAGTCAGTGGTTTGAGCCCACCATCCAGATGAGAAAGATGTGGCAGTCTGCTTCTGTAAAGATTTATAGCCTTAGAAACCCTATGAGGCAGTTCTAGTCTGTCCTGTTAGGTTGCTTTGACTCGGAATTGACTCTACAGCAGTGGGTTTATTGAACATTTGATACATTACAGAGGGCTTTATCTTCACATTTAACCTCTACTATGTTTGTTCTCCTCAGAAGGAAGGTTGGGCAATCTACTTCTGTAGTGATACTGCCTCGGAAACTCAAGGAGGGGTCGCTATGAGTCGGGTATGACTCGATGGCACATAACAACAAGAACAATATATTTGTTCTGCGTCTTTCAAATTTTATAGAATTAAACATTGGTGAAGAAGATTTACTTCTATATTGAATATTCTTTAGATTTCAGTAGGAATTTCAGAAAATTATTTGCTAAGTATACTGGTAGACATTCCCTAGGTTATTGCCCACAGCTCCTAAATTGTCACATTTTTTTGCTGTATTTCTGTTAGGTTTCAGAAAAGGGATCCTTAACATCTGAAGAGTTTGCTAAGCTTGTGGGAATGTCTGTCCTTCTTGCCAAAGAAAGGTAAATAGGACCCTGTGCTTCATTATCAAGTGTGTTTTTGTGTCTGAATGGACAGATAATTGTTATAGGTTTTTTTTTCTTTCCCCTTCATTTCTAGGTTACTTCTTGCAGAGAAGATGGGCCATCTTTGCCGAGACGACTCAGTGGAAGGCTTGCGGTTTTATCCAAATTTATTTCTGACACAGAGCTAAGAGTTTTGTATTTGGAATACTTTTTATCCATATACTGATATCATGTAGAGGTTGTATGACATTCAGCTGAGAGATAAACCCTGAAAAACTGAGAAATAATTGGACTTTTGCTCTTTTGATTTCTTCCTAAATATTATGATCCAGGAAGCTTATTTAGGATAAATACAGGAAAATACAGAAAACGAATGCTGGTGTGAATTTAAAATCATGTTGTGTAAAACCCATATATAACTTGTATTATGGTGGGTTTTAACTCAGTCCTCAAATCTAACTATTTTCAAAAAAGGGAATTAGTTCATGTGGGAAGAAAAAGAAGCTGCATGTTTGGACAGATTAGATGACTATTTTGGTGTGACTAAAATTGCGTGAATTGTAAATGAAGTTTTTTCTCTGTGTCTGATGTTCCCATTTTGGGTGTCTTCATGAAGCAAGTCATACCTACAGTGTAATTTTAAGAATGCTGGAACAATATATCAGATTGCATAATGTGATATCAGGCTCTTCCTAAGGCCTCTTAGAAGCAGTCTTAGGCATGTCTTCAACAGACCAAATAAAGCACCATTTAAGAGGAGATAATTTTATTTGATTTATGTGTATATAATAGGACTTATTTCTTTTTTTACAGAGATGATTTCATGGTTGGCATTTAAAGAATGCAACTATGTCATTTTATTTCAAAAATGCTGTGGACTTTAAACCTGAATTAAAGAGCTGTGTAGACATGCCCAGAGATATGATTATAAATTTAGGAGATAGATAGCCCGGGCATTCTCTAAGATTGTTGTGTGGGTGGAGGGGCAGAGGGAACTTAGTGCTCTTTTACCTGGAATCTGAGAATGAGAAAAAAGAAAGTGGAAAAGTGATGTGTCTCCTTTTTCCTCTTAAAGGAGTTTCACCCCTGAACTTTTAAAAGTCTGTCATATGCCAGTAATATTTTTCTTTTGTTCTTTGCCCTACACATTATAAGTTGTGTGGAGAAGCTATCTCAGTAAAAAGTATTACAGAGATAACAAAACTGGCTAACAGTGAATTTAGATTGCTTGAGTTTTAAAGTAGACTTTGTATGTTATAGGTGTATAGCATACCTACCATAGGATAGCATTACTTCAAACTCAGGGACCCCATTGGGACAGAAAGAGGCTCCCTTTTAGAGACTGAGTTGGAAGTAGAAGCGTAGTGATGGTTCTTAGTTTTGTGCAAGCCTCCAGAAGGGTAGCATGCATAGTTAAGCAATATGGATAGTACCTGTATTGAGAGACACATTGGAAGTAGGAAGGGGGACACCCAGGTTCGTGCTCTGGAGTTCCTAAGTGAGGTGGAGGGCCACCACCATAAGCTGCTACAAATGCCCTTTGGGGAAGTTCCAGGATCCTCAGCTACAGGTGATCCTTCCAAGTGAAGCCCAAGCCCTGATCCTTACCTGAAAAGTAACAGTCATTGCTTCATGCCTTCTAGTGTCGTCAGCAGGAATGTTATTGCCATGGTATTCTGCTCTAGTCTTATTTGTCAGCCTGTCACTGATTCTTCATGTGGTGACAGATACCCTTAATTTCCCCCATGGCCCAGCCTCGAGTTTACTTTGGGGTAATTCAGTGTCTGCACAACCAACTCTTAGTTGGGCCATTGTGTATCCTTGTTGTATATGTCACACCTTTCTCTGGGCATCACTGCCTCTCTTATACATACACATGCACACAAATACACAGTATCTTATCTGGCTCAGGTTTGTAAAAATTACAAAGATTTTTAAAAAAGAAATATGGAGATAAATTTGTTCTCCAGTTGAAATGAATTGTAAGTATAGTTGTTTGAGCTACTGCATCTAGCTCTATTCATTTGGATTTGTTACAGTATATCCATATAATTCAGCGTATTTCGTATTTATTTACTTAGTGTGACCACAGATTGACAAAAATGGTGCAATCATAATTATATGAAGTGAATTAAAGAAGAAAAAGAGTGACATGATATATTTTGCAAATGTTATACTAATTTTAAAAAAGCAATTATGATTGAGTTTATTGTTTTGTTTTATTTTGAGAATGGGCATTCTTCACTGTTTCCAGATCTCTATATGTATTTTTAGCCTTCTTCCCTGACCCCCCAAATAAGGTAATATTTTGGCCCTATTATTGATGGGAGCTCTGGTAGCATAGTGGCTAAGACACTTGCCTGCTAACCATACGGCTGGCGGTTCAAATCCACCAGCCACTCCTCGGAAGGAAGGTTGGGCAATCCTACTTCCGTAATGATACTGCCTCGGAAACCCAAGGAGGGGTTGCAATGAGTCAGGTTTGACTTGACGGCACATAACAACAACAACAACAATTGATAGAGGGGGAGGCCTGGTGGCGTAGTGTCTAAGGCATTTGACTACTAACCAGAAGGCTGGCAGTTCAAACCCACCAGCCACTCCTTGGAAGGAAGATTGAGCAATCTATTTCCGTAGAGATACCCTTCAGAAACCCAAGAAAGGGTCGCTGTAGTCGAAATTGACTCTTTGGCAATGAGTTTGGTTTTTTGGTTTTTATTGATAGAGGTGCTGGGGGAAAGGGATCTGGTGGCATATTGCATTTGACTGCTAACAGGAAGCTTGGCAGTTCAAAATCCCCCAGTCATTCCACAGAAAAAGGACTGGGCAATCTACTTCTCTAAAGACTGAAAAAGTCAAACACTCAATGGGGGTCCCTATGAGTTGGAATCGACTTGATGGCAATGAGTTATTTTATTTTTTTTAATTTATAGAGGTTATGTTTAAGTACAAGAAACATTCTGTCTTGGTGCTTGTGATTGGTATAATTATTATTTTTACTTTCTTATCTTTGTTCTTAAATGCATAAATCTGTTTCTAGCTTTATGGTAATGGAATATTTCTAGTCATTGTCAAGAAAAATTTTTTTACATTATTTAAGTAAAGATTGTTTTCAGGGTTAAGTGATTGGTATTCATGTCTGTCTGTCTTTATTGTAAACCTATTGCAAAATTAAAAAATGATTTTTCTTAACTTGGTGTTCTTTTTAAATATTCTTTTAAAAATGCATATATAAATGGTAAACCTCAAAGTCAGACTAAGCCAGTATGTTGAGATTCTTTTAGACTTTACAATCAAGAATTGATAATAAATATTTATGACATCAAATGCTTACTATTTTAGTTATCTTAAAAGAATGGAAAATGACTCATGAAACATTTTTTAAATTTGTGATATGAGTTCCACTGTTGCTTGACTATGTGTGAACATTTATATGAATATGGCTTTTTTTTGAATTGTGATTTTGGTGAAAGTTTACAGAGCAAATTCATTTTCCATTCACCAGTTCATACACATACTGTTTCGTGACATTGATTGCAATCTCTGTAATGTAACAGCTTTCTTTCCACTTCCTCCCTGTAGTTACTTTTTCACTTGTGTCCTTCTATCCTATGCACACTTGCCCTCTGAGCTATCTCCCTGTGCAAATGCTGCCCTTCTGATCTCCCATGGTTGATTGTGCTAAGGCATGTACCTATCTGGTATAATAGTTCACCTTGTAGCCTGCCTTTCTGTTTGTTTGGCTAGAAGTTAAGCCATGGAGACTGAGTTCAATTCCAGGCCTGAAGGGTGACTAGGGACCATAGTCTTAGGAACTTCATCAGACAAAAATAGACTAGTAAGCCTGGTTATTTTTATAATTCTGAGTTTTGTTCCACATTTTTCTCCCACTCTATCAAGGATCTCTAATTCTGATCCCTTTCCAAGTGGTTGGCAGTGGTAGCTGGGTGCCATCTAGTTCTGGTCTCAGGGTTGTGTAGGCTGAGGTTTCCGTGACCCTTTAATCCCTCTGACTAATTGTTTCCACATGTCTTTGATTTTCTTCACTCTTCTTTGCTCTGGATGACCACTCGCAAGCTTTTAAGACCTGTCGCTACTCTGAATGCACTCTCTCTTGTTCCCTGTTTTTTAGCAGACTGATATGACCAGGTTGGTCTTATCATTGCATCATTCTCATGCTCAAATACATAATTTGGTTCTCTTTTGCCTGACAATCTCAGTCTTCATTTGATACAGTGGAATCACAACATACAGTGTGGTTAGGTTATAGATACTAAGGACAAAATCAAGTACATGCTCAAAATTATCCTTGAAAATCTCTTAAATTGCCAGTAAAGCTCACTATATAGTCTTGTGATTATATCCTTTGTAGAGTGATATGTGGGTATTATGAATAAAGGAACACAATATATAATAAAAACTACATAACAATAGACTTTATTTTATTTATTTATTTTTTTTAGATTTTTTTTTTTTTTTATTAGGATTTGGGTGAAGATTTACAGAGTAAATTCACTTTTCATACAGCAGTTCACATATACTTTGTCTCATGTCATTGACCAAATTTTACAATGCAGCAGCTCCCCTCCCACTTCCTCCCCATAGTTACCTCCTCCCAGTGTGCATCCCTTCATACTCTTCTGCACCCTGAGCTATCTCCCTGTGCATAAGCAGCCCTTCCTTCTCCCATGATTGTTCTCTCCAGGGCATGTGTCTACTTGAGGTAAATGTTTAACTCACATGCCTGTACTTTGTTTGGCTGGAAACCACAGTTGTGGGTTCAATTCCAGACCTGAAGGGCAGCTAGGGGCCATAGTCTCAGTGGTTACACCAGGCTCTATTGGACCAGCAAACCTGGTCCCCACCTTCTTTTCTTTTTTTTGCCTCCAAATGATTTTGAGTTTTGTTCCACATTGTTCTCCCTCTTTATGCAGGGTCTCCTACATCCCTTCCAAGTGGATGGCAGTGGTAGCTGGGCACCATCTAGTTCTTCTGGTCTCATAGTTGTATAGGTTGCAGATCGGATGATGTACCAGTCGCTAGGACTGATTGTTTCCATTAATTTTGGTTTTCTTCTTTCTTCTTGACGAGGAGAGACCCATTGTTGCATCTAGATGGCAGCTTCCTAGCTTTTAAGGTCCCAGTCGCTACTCGCCAAAGTAGTAGGTGGAACAATGTTTTGTATAGTATGTTATGCCAATTGAGCTTGATGTCCCCTGCGACTATGGTCCCAAGCCCGCAGGATCAACTACTCGGTCGCTCTGGGTAGCTGGCTGTGACCAAGCAATGACCATAACCTTGCCCCTTGTCAGCTCTACTATACACCTGGGAATTCTGATCATTCACATGAACTTATAGGCCCATTGTCTGCCAACCCTATATATGATCTTGGATACACTCTCCATTTAGACATACCTAATTGTTTAGCTTGTTCACCTATCTATCCGTCCCTATATCCATGTTTGCTTTCACTGACAACTCAGTACTGTATATGCAAAAGGGTTCATATTTGTTGTCTGTACTGCCCATGTAGCTCTCTATGTCTTTCTCATCCTCAATGCTGCCATA